TTTTTTTTTTTTTTTTTGCAACGACAAATTTCATTATTAATTAATGTGATAAAAATAAAAAAACCGAGCCAAACAGATGTATTCGGTGTCGTTTGTGAAATGGACTTCACATGGGCTCCTTCAACTCGAACTCAACGCCGGGAGGAGTTTCGACATCGAGCCTCCGATGCCTAAGTCAACACTGGCTAGAGATAAAGAGTGGAAAATGATAGTATAGTAGTGAATGTAGAGAAAATGATGTTTTGGGATACTTTAGGCCCTTTTATAGGGTAAGTGTACCTTAGTGCTCATGTTGGGCTTGGCCAATAACATTATGCCATGTGTCCTTGCCCATTTGTAGGCTTATTATTCGATATATTCATTTTTATCCATGAATAACTAACAAAGTAGTAATTGATTCAAAATGAGGCCCGTACTTTTGTACGTAACTAGTGCGTGGCCCGTGCGATGCACAAAAAAACAATATTACGATTGTGTTATAAATTAAATATACTAATAAATTAATCAAGATTTACCCATCGTTTTTAAATTAAACCGTGTTGGACACAGTCCGACCGGATGGACTGTGGACCGGTTTATAATAAGTCTAGTTCACTTGAATAAAATATTTGTTTTTGAATCCGTCAACACCAGTCGGTTGAATTGTTAGGATCGATACTATTTTATAAATAACTTTTTCTATATTTAAAATTATGTTAAATAAAATTATATATTTAAATAGAATAGAGATTTATAGAATATTTATCAATTAATTTAAACACTTGAATTTTTAAATTGTTTAAATATTTAAGTATCACATTTTATTCAAATTTATTACAAAAAGTATTATATATAAGTATATTAAAGCGTATTTTTAAAGAAAAATTAAATTGTATAATTTTTGTAAACTATGATTATATTAATTATTTATAAATACAATTGTATGATTTTTAAAGGAAAAAAAAATTAAAATAATAAAACTACTATTTATGGGCTGCATTAAATGCTGACTTATTTTTTGGTTATTAATTTTAGTAAATAGGATGACTCTTTATATAAGTATAGATTCCAAAATTTTAGGATGCATTAAATGTTTATTGAGTTTTTGATTTAAGAAAGAAACAAAATTGTATTTAATAAATGGTGGGTGAATAAAATTGTCCTGAATTTTTGGGCTTCACGTATGGTATATGCAATCTGATATGAAGATTAAACAAATGCCGAGCGAATTTATGTTTTTAAAAAAATAAAAAATCCAGAAATAGTATGTAATAAATGATGTCTGAAATTTTTTATTGCTATTTTTGGTAAATAGTAAATCTGTTTATATATATATATTTTTTTTTATTTAAAATATATGAAAAATGTATTAAAATGATTATTTTATGGTGTATTATTGAATTGGATTTTTATTATATTTAGTATAAAAAAATTTATATCGTATTTTTATTTATAAAATTGTTTTTTAATAAATTTAGTTTTATTTATAGTGAAGATGTAATTATTTTTTATTTTAAATATGCAATATGAATGTAAAATCAAAGATCGTCAAAATATGATTATTTTGAGATATAATATACAATAAATAAAATACAAATAAAAAATTATAAAGATTTAAAAATAATAAAAATAAATTTATAACAATTATTATATGAATTAAATAAGAAAAAAAATAATGAAAGAGAGATTTAAGTAGGGAAAATTCTATTGTAGGCTTGACTTTTTTTGTTATTGTGTCAGAATAAGTCTTGAATTTCTAACTTTTTCATGTGAGAGTTTGAATTTTAAGTTATTCTCCATAAAAGGCTTACTTTTGCGTACTAATTCTCAATATAAGACCCCAAATAACTTTATATTTTTACATAAGTATATAAACCAAATACTATTATTTTAAAATTCATATCTTAAATAATTATAATAACTTTAATTTAATTTATTTTTCTAAATAATTTATTTTTTAATTTTATCACATATTTAGATTAAAATTAAGTTAAAATTTATTTTTTAACTTTTAAAATAAATTTCATTAAGCTTTTATATAAATGTAAATTATGAAGTGATTATATTTTTAGGTAATTTTACTAAAATATATAATATTTTGTTTATTACATGTACTTAAAAAATAAGTTTTTTTTTTTTTTTTTAAAAAAGTATTACGGTTTACATAATTATGTTAAAATACAAAGTAATTTGGTGTCTTAAATTGAAAGATAGAATGTTAAAGTAGGTCTTATATTGAGAGTAATTTAAAAATTAAACTCTCAAAGAGAAAATGTTAAAATATAAGCCATATTATGACACAACACTCAAAAATCACGCCTTACAATGGAATTTTCCCGATTATAAGTATGAGAGACATTAAAATTATGCTTCCCCAAATCGTACTCTCCCCCAAATCGCTCTCGTCGACCTCCTTCTCTGCGCGCAAATTCGGCTCCATTAGCGGCCGTCTGGGATTGTCCGCGGACGGCCTCCTCCGCTCCTCCATGGCGGCGGTGCTCCCGGTCTTTGTCCTGTCGCCGCTGGATTAGGGCTAGGGTTCGGCGGCTTATCTTTTCGCTTGAAGGTCGCCGGAATCCAGGGGTATCGGGGCAAGGCGGGGTGTGGTCGCAAGTGGAAGATGCTTGTGTCGCTTGATTTGGTTGGGTCGGTGCACCTTTTCTCGGCGAGTTTGGAGGGTTACTGCGGGCGGTTTTTTCCGTCTTCAGTGGGTATGTGGCCGTCGGATCCTCGTTCGTGGGGGAAGGGCGGGTCGGGTCCTCTCCTTGCGGGCTGGATTGATTGGAGGTGTCCTATTCGGTCTGGGTCGGCGAGGTCGAGCAGGGAAGCCACTTGTCCCCTTCTTCCCCTATCTCGGTTATGAGTACGGGGAGGCCGACGGTCCCCGGCGTAGGCTAGTGGTGTTAGGCTGCCTTGGGTGGGTGTCGGATCGGCTAGTGGTGTTAGCCGATGGAGGGTTTCGTGGCTTCTTGCGGCTGGAGTGCGGGTCACGTTCTAGGATTGATTTTGAGGTTTGGATTATCGTCTTGCTAGGCCTTTCGCAGTGGCGGGCGGGGTATCAGAGCCTCGAAGCTTTCCTCGGAATCAGATTTTCCCGTTGTCCTTTCTGGTGGTATCTGCTGAGGGAGGCTTTGTTGTTAGTGTGTAGTTGTTTTAGTGTCTTTGTTCTTTTTTCTATTTTGTGTTGGTGTTTTTGTTAGTTGTTGTGTTTTAGGTTTGGGCCGTTGGCCCCAGTCAGCTCGAGTGTGAACTTATTATCCTTTTGGGACCACACACTCGAGAATTACCCTGTTGGGGTTGTTCTAGTGTTGAGTCTTTGTGTTGGGTGTTTATTACCCTGTTAGGGTCGAGTCTTTGTGTTGGGTGTTTATTTCCCTGTTAGGGTCGTCTTTAGGCGGGCTTCGTCCTGTCCTCTCAGTTTTATTCGGCTGGTGGCTGTGTGTTATCAGTTGATGTTTGTATTTGCACATTTGTGCCTTTTATAAAATTTTTATCGTTCCCGAAAAAAAAAAGAAAGAAAGAGAAATTTCTAGGAGGTAATAATGTAAGATGAAATAATTATTTATAGTTAATTTCAAGCCAATTTTATTTCTAAATTTTTTATCCAAACATCAATATAAAGTATGATATTTTGACACGTATAATTTCAAAGCGTGCGAGTCTGCCCAAGCATGTTAATAGGGGGATAGGGATGTTCTATGAAGTTTTTGAATCAAATTGGGCCAAAGTTCAAATTCCTACCGGCTAAAAATTAGATTAGCGACTAAGAAGGCCCAAATTTTATATACGAAACGTCGTCGGCTGTTCGATTCGAGGGTTTTTTTCGTGGTTTTGATTCTCAGTCACTCAGAGAGAGAGAGAGAGAGAGAGAGAGATCCATCGGAAAATTCAGGATGAAGCCGGTGGTCGGGATTGTGGTGTCGAACAAGATGCAGAAGTCCGTCGTGGTGGCCGTCGACCGCCTCTTCCACCACAAGCTCTACAACCGCTACGTCAAGCGCACCTCCAAATTCATGGCTCACGACGAGCAGAACCAGTGCAACATCGGCGATCGAGTTCGTGCTTCTGTCCCTCTCTCTCTTTCTCTTCCGAATTACATTGAAAACGCTTGAGTATTTCTTTTGTAATCGTCTTGTTAATGAAATGGCAGGTGAGGTTGAATCCTTCACGGCCGCTCAGCAAGCACAAGAATTGGATTGTGGCGGAGATTCTTAAGAAGGCCAGGATATATGTACCACCATCTATGGATAAGGGCGTTTCCAAGCCCGATGAAGCTTCGAGCGGCTTGGCATCGTGAGGTGATTATAAATGTTTTTGGTGTTCTTGTTGTTTATTGTTTCAAGTTTTATTAGCCTGTTGTTTAGGATTTTCAATCCTGAGAAGAAGTTTTGTGGGCTGTTAATCTCTCGTCTTGGTTTGTAACACTTTTGTGAGCTAATACTTGCTTGTGGAAGAGTCTTTTTTGTGTGTAATATGGTTGGTGGTGGAACGTGAAGAATCCAAATTTTAGATTGTTGTTTCGTGATTGAAGTGATATGAATATAGATAGACTTCTGAAACTTCTTAGGAAAAAAGCTTAGATACTGGCGGGACGAAATTCGCTCATATCCGATTGAAGTTTGTTTCTTTTCTGGGGAGCATTGGGAGGACGCCTCAGTTAATTGCCTCTTTGTGGTTGAATTTTTCGAGATCTGTTTGTTGGATAAAAATGATAGAAATTTTGTTCCTGTTGATACATTTTTTGGGCTTAGTCTGTAAAAACTTCTATCCATATGTTCGATGAGTTGTTGTGTATAAAATGATTAGTGGAACACGAACATTCCAAATTTAGATTGTTGTTCTGTGATTGAATCAAAATGAATACAGATAAACTTGTGAAACTTCTTAGGATAATAACTTAGATATTGTCAGAGGAATTTCGCCCATGTTCAGTCGAAGTTTGCTTCTTTTTCTGAAGAGCATTGGGAGGTGGATGCCTCAGTTAATTGCCTCTGTTGGTGGGTGAAATTTGTAAACATTGTTTGTAAGATAGAAATGATCGAATTTTGTTCCTGTTGATATGTTCGTGGGCTTATGCTGTTAAAAAGTTCTTTCTATATGTACAATAGATTACGAGCAGATGCCGTACTTTGTTTTCCAATGGCTCAATACATTGTTGATACTGACTTTCTTTTGATAATTTACTTCACTTAACGTAATCTGGTCCTCTATCAAACATTGCCGTCACACCCTCATACAAAATAACGAAGCAAACAAAACTATACAATGAAACGGGCAATCATGTAGAATATAGAGTATTAACTTATGGAGTTGCATATACAATTACTTATTTATTTATGTGAAGAAGAAAGCTTCGGTTTTTGAATGCTGATCCAGTTCTGGTGTATGCATTACTGAATACCCTATAAATCCGGAAATGTCAGGATGACATTTCTTCTAAAAGAAGACGAATGAGAAATTTATAAGTACATATTATATTTCATATGAATTTTCTGGGTTCTAATCAATTGTATATGCTGACAAATTATGGCGGAAAGTATGATTAGTGTTTAATTATGTTATTTTATCTGGTACGGTTTGGCTTATTGTTATAACACAATCAGATAACAATTGTTATGTTTGGCACTTCAAGAACTAGAAGTTCAATATCTAAAAGCAGTAGAGGTTTTCTTGTAAGTTTTGTTTTTCAACAATCAAAATGTTGGTTTTCATAATGCTTCAACCTATGTTAGCTCTGTAAATTTATTCTCTGAAGTGGTCTATGATTTTGTAAATCGTCTTTCAGGGATATTCTTTACACCCAATCATGGCTAAGTGTCATCAGTTCTTAGAGGGTTTAATTTGAGGCACATATTATCTTCAGAAGGGTTTAGGAGAGATTGTTATACGATGTTGCTTGTGTATACACGACTGCGTGTAGGCTCCTAAATTTATTTCTGATTTTCAAAATTCTGAAATAAATGAACAATGTAATGTTTGCTAATGCTCTCTCCAGGTGAAGTTGAATATGCAATTTGACCAATTTCAATGCATGACTATGGAAGACCACATTGCGTCCAGGGGAATAAAGACGACTATCGTTTGATCTTTTTTTCCTTCTTTGCTGTTTTGGTAGTTTGCTGTCAATTACAAAGGTACCCTTGGCATATGTAGTAGTAGGTGGTTTCAAATGTAGGATATTGGCTTGTATTGTTTTCTGGTGGAAACTAACATTGTACTTGGTTCAATTTAAATGTTAATTTTTGTCGGTCTAAAATGAATGATGTTTTGTAGAATATAAATAATACTACAGAACAGAAACTCTTTAGAATTCTGAATACCATTCACTTTGTAAAGCCATAATATGCCTTGCCCTGTGTCCAACTCCAACCTAATCCAGACAAACCATAGTTGAATACTAAACATCATAATTCACACACTGTAATAATAAGAACTACACAACTATTTTTTGCTTTTCATTCTAAACATTCCATGGCTTCCTACTAATCTGCTCAACAGTTCTAACAGCTTCCCAAACCACACTGTTACACTTGAGCCCAGAGCCCAAGGCCAGTTGCCACACCCTATCCCCACTCTTGATCCTCTTCTTAGCCTCCAAATAAGCCAGCTCATACCAGATGCTACTGCTCGACGTGTTCCCGAATCTCTCCAGCGTCTTTCTAGAAGCTTCCATGCTTTCATCCGTCAGGTCCAGATTCTTCTGAACCTCGTCCAGCATTCTCTTGCTCGTCGCAAGAATGCAGACGTGCTCAAATGTCAACTTGCAGTTGGGCCCAGGCCCGGGCCTGACGAGAGAGCTTAGGCCTGCGGTGTGTGCCTTTAGGACATGCATACCGACTTCTACAACATCATTACTTATCGACAGTCCCTGTCTTCCCTGTGAGTCCTCTTTCAGTTGTATGCTTTCGAAGCTTCTGCCATCCATCCCTCTGTGAGTTCTTACAACCTGCAATCTCAAACTCTTTCGAATGAAAAAATAAAAAAGAAAAAATATAAAAAATTGCACGGGATTACCTGCTTCAACCGGTACTTTGCTCGCCACCTGTCGAGGCGACAGCTGGACAGCAACACGGCTGCAGCCCCCATCCGCAGGAAGCAGTTCGGGAGCACAATTTCCGGGTCATTGCCGACGTACCAGGCGGGCCCCACGGCCTCCATGCTGACAACCAGCGCGTACGAGCCCGGGTAACCACCCTTCTTCAGAAGGTCTCCGGCGAGGTCGATGGCGGCTACTCCGGCGGCACAGCCCATGCCGCCGAGGTTGAAGCTCTGTGTTCCGCGGCCGAGCTTGTAGCGGTTGACGATCATTGCCGAGAGGGAAGGGGTGGTGTTGAGGAGACCGCAATTTACGATGAGGATTTTCACGTCCCTTGGCCGGAGGCGGCGGCGGCTACCGGAGGAGATGGCGGAAAAGAGGCTGTCCACCGCGCCGTAGATGAGCAGGGCAGCCTCCTCCCGGCTATGGCCGAGGTCGGTTTTGTGGTTCGGGAGGAAAACCGAGCGAGGGAGGTATGTCTGGTTGCCGAGACCGGAAGTTTCGAGGGTTTTCCGTTGGAAGTCTATGGATGCAGGGGTGAATTGACCTGATTTCTTGGCTAGCTCTATGTATTCTTCTTTTGTTATCTAGTAGGAAAAAAGGAAACAAGATTTATGAGTAAAAAGAAGAATGGTTATTGTAGTAGGCCTAAATTCAACTTGAAAGTACTAGTTAAAACAAAGATGGGGGGTGCCTACGGTGACAGCACCTACGGTGCACCCTCCCTCACCATTGGATCACGTTATTTAACATGATCCACCTACGGTGCACCCTCCCTCATCATTGGATCACGTTATTTAACATGATCCAATGGTGAGGGAGGGTGCACCATAGGTGCTGTTTAAAAATGCACCGTAGAGCCCCCCCACTCCTAAAACAATGACTTGTGCAAATATTGAGGGAAAAAGTTCGGTTTTTGCCGTGTAGGCAGTTTTTTCACCGTTGGATCATACTTGCTCACACAGACACCTATGTGAGTGTGTGTTGATTTAATGATGAACTAACCCGAGCGGACACTCGAGTATTTTCTCATAAATAGTCTCTGTTTTACTCTGGTTACAAAAGAAGTCCAACTATCACTTAAAACTGAATAACTAAACATATGATTTAAAAGGTAAAAACTGCACACCTTAAGTTCATCTGGTGGCAGGTAGCAAGCGAAATCGACAAGATAAGTCGAACGAGGAACAAAATCAAGAACAACAAAAGTAGCCAGGGAGAAGAAGCCCAAGAGCAGAAGAACGTTCACCAGGCTGTAACATCCCAAGGAAAAGACATCCCAAGTTATCTTTCCAGCTTGTGTGCTGAGCATCACCATGAGAATCGAGCACGCGAAATACTTGCCGTGGCTAATGAGATGGCAGTAGCCGGATTTCACGTACTTCAAGCTCACGGAGCTTAGGAAATCGGGCAAGCCACGGTGGATACCCACCGAGGGGTCAGGTGAACCGGCATGCGGACAAGAGGTTTCGTGCGAAACGGGTTCTTTTGTCGTTGGCATGAGTTTTGGTAGGAAATTAAAAAAAAAAAAATGGATTTCAGATACTTACAGGTATGAGTAGTGTGTTAAGCATGAGAAGGGGATTGATTGGAGGAGTTGATAAAGGAATTTGTGTTAGTTTGTTACTTGTAAGTTGTAACAGAAAGAAAGGGGTTTATTGCATGAATTCCTTATAAAGAGATCTCTGCTTCTTTCTTTAATTTTTCTGAACTGTGTAGGGAATATTTTGTAGCATGGATAGGTAATTCCGACTGTATTTGGTAAAACTAGCTGATAAACTAGTTTATATTTATTAGTGATTTTCGAGCTTATAGTTGAAAAACTAGCTTATATGATGAAAGTATTCGGTAAAATAAGCTAATAAGCTAGTTGAAAAATTTCAACGAGCTTATTTCGAAAAGCTACCCAAATACACTTATGAGATAATTTCGAACATTTTAAAAAATCGTATGAGACGGTCTAGCGAATATGGTCCTAATCTAAGTAGTCTCGTTGCCCTAACGTGAACAAAAACTTTAGGTAATATTTGAAAAAAAATACTATAATTTATTTTTTCGTTCACATATAAAACATTAATTAACCTATACTAAGCCTTTTTTTCATAGTTGACGATGCACACACTTGGTTGGATCCGCACGAAGGAAGTTTTGTGATCACATTAGATCGACACTAGGGGTATTTCGAGGCGGATGAACTTTGTGGAATACCTTTATGTATGGGATCGACTAAGGTCCCAGATCGACAAACATACGCATTTGACTTAATAAATACTCTTATTATAATAATTAAGGCATGTCCTTTTAATAAGATAGATCGGTTGAGAATATAAACATATATGAATGCGGGTAGTGTGAAGTGGGGAAATTTCGTTATAATGCTCTGTCTTTTTTGAATTGTGTCAAAAGTAAGACATGAATTTTATTCTTATAAGTTTCAATTTTAACTTATTTTAATAAGTTTACATTTATAAATTATTCTTTTTTGAATTGTGTCATAGCAAGACATGCATTTTATTACTGAAAGTCTAATTTTATTCTAATTTTCACGTCAACTAACTTCATGTTAACTTGTTGATATCCTTTCCAGTAATCACAGTTTCCCAAAAGCAATGACGTTGCTAATCCTGAAAATCTAACTGAGCGCACCTCGGATTTCATGAGGCGATGACCGACGTCATTCCCTGACTAAATCACCGACGTCATTTCGTAGCAATAAATAAGGAGAACAATCATTTTCCAACTTCAACCGAGGTCTTTACAGAAGAAAATCACTCTAACCAAGGTCCGCAACCGAGGTCCAAGAAAGTTGACTATTTGCGAATTATGAGGCGGCAAATCTTCAACAAGACATCATTTTTGTAGCCTAGTATAGCAGACAACCGCCTCTGAAAAGCTACTTTGCATTAAATGCAATCACACATACCTCGTACGACGGGTCAATCGCACTATAAATAGCCGATTTGACCAAGAATAGGGGGACTTCTTCTCTCTCTGACAAAGACTGAAAAATAGAAAATAATATCCGAAATTCTAAAAAGTTGTAATGTCGTTTGTATGCAAAACCGACATCTTACGATCTAAACCTCTATCAGTAATATCTTTATTCTGCATAATAAACTACATTTACGTTTAATCATTGTTGTTAATTATCATACAACAACAGTTTGGCGCTAGAAAGAGGGTTCATAAATTTTTTTAGGTTAATCTTCGCGTTTGAAGCCACGATATGCTCACACTACCGACTGACGCTTTCCACCATAGTTACAATGTCGCAATCCGGGCAAGAACGAACATCCCGTGTTGGACATAGCCATGATACCCACCATTCCGTTGGGCGTACTATGCAAGCGCCGATCGTACCATATTACACGAATCTATTTCAAAATTCGGAATTTGTAAGGGCTTTCTTGTCACTCATGGCTCGGACACTCCCTGGCACATCAGTTCCAATTCAGGGACGATCTACTTTTCCTGTTACTATGGCCACACAGCCAATACACATGCTACGGCGTCACACGCAACATCGCAGCCGCATCATGATTCCCCTCATCGAGAAGACTTAGCTCGACCGTCAAATAATTATCGATCTGGAGTTCATGATCTATTGGCGACGAGGAATCTAGAAATGACTGCAGAAAGTAATTCATCATCATAGAGCCCCTGCACTTGTACAACCGGAATCACCCTCACCTGTTGATCGCGAGGACTTGCGTCGGCAAATTGAGAGAAACTGTATGGCCCGATGATATAATAAAATATTATTCTTTTACATTTTATAATTTACTCACTTAATAGAAAATACAAAATAGTAAATATCTTCAGAAAAAAATACTTTAATGAGAAAGATAATCCATATAAATTGTATATATAAAAAAATTAAAAAAGTTTATTTTCGATTATTGATATAATTTTTTAAAAATATATAACTTGAATATTATTTTTACTAATAATCAAATTATCTAATAAAAAAAAAAATATTTAAATACTATTTCGTTTAACAGCTATTCACCGAGGAAATGCGACTTTGTCATCACACTCCGATCCAAAGGCATGTAACTGCATAAAGGTTCACCGGGGAGAAGCTATTTCACTGTGCCGTTAGTCGCCGCAGTCTTTCTCAAGTCACTTCACCGTCTCTCTGCATCTCATCGCCCCACCGGGAAACCTCCAATCCACAGCTGCTCGATTGGATTCCTTTTTAATTTTTGCGGGCTGAGTTGAATCGAGACTGAATGTGGAGATCGGCATCGATGTTTGGTCCTCGCGTTCATCGTCTTCTCGCCTTAATCTTGCTTTTCGTCCTGGTGAGTATTTGCCTTTTCCTTTTCGATTTATCGTTCATTTTCTACAGTTTTGGATGTAATGGAAAGCAATAATTGGTCTGGTTGTTTTAATTGTTCTGTATGATTCTTTGAATTGACTGCTTGAAAGTGTAAGTAAACCCAATGCAATCTGAGTGAATTTGGAATTGAGAAATCTGTGGAGAAGCGTAAAGGTTGATGGATTATTGGGTGCATATGAGTGGAATTATGGATCTTCTGTTGGATTGTTGATGTGATTCTTCCAACCAGTTGTTAGGGGATGGGGCAAATGGGGCTTCATCTGGGTTTCGTAATAGCATAACACATCATTTTCAATTTATCGTTCATATTCTATGACTTACATACTTTTTTTTTCCCACCGATTGAATCCCGGAAAGCATTAAGTGGCCTGGTGTTGTGTAATTCTGTATAATTCTACGAATTGACTATATCCTATATCAGACTGAATGAGTGTAAGTGTAAGTTAACCTAATGCAATCCGAGTAAATTTGAAATTGAGAAATTGGCATACATCAATTATTGGGTGCTTATGAGTGGTCCTGTCGGATTATTGATGTAATTCTTCTTGCCAGTTGTTGGGAGATAGGGCAAATGGAAGCCGTAAGAGCGGGAAAACATCATCCGTGTTTTCTTTGTTTAACCTCAAGGAGAAAAGTCGGTTCTGGAGTGAGTCAGTTATACGAAGTGGTATGATTTTTGTACTTCTTTCTCTATAAAAGCTTGAGCAATTCGTATCGACTCTTTGTTTTGTCCTCATGTCACTTGTGGAAATTTCACCTTTAATCATTTTATTCGTTTATGTAATTGGTGACTACAGGCTTTGATGATTTGGAATCGTCTACACCGGACAAACACGATGCCATCAACTACACAAAGGCAGGTACTTATTCTGTATGGCAGTTCATCTCTTCTGAATAGAAGTATTCATCCCATCTGGAATGGATGTAAATGGTCACTGTAACGTTCTCTCTGTCTGTTTAATGGATTGAGGTCTTTCGATAGGTGGCTGTTATGTTTGCTACAGGATGACACATTTGCAAAAAAACATCATCGTCTTGTGGGCCCCACCTCTCTCTCTCTCTCTCTCTCTCTCTTATACTTGATAACTATTGCTATGTCTTGCTAGCACTGTATAATTGTAGTTCCTTATGTGGGGATTTGGGTGCTCAAATTTTTGTTCTAGTTTGCCATTTTTTCTTTCTCAAGATGCATACATTATATGGTTTGTCTTATAAAATACAATTGTATTTCCCTTGGATCTCAGGAAATATTGCAAGTTATTTGAACCTTTTGGAAGTTGAATCTATGTACCTTCCAGTGCCTGTAAACTTTATTTTCATTGGTTTTGAAGGGAGTGGGAACAGAGGTATATTGACATTCTACTCAATATTTTGTTCGGGTTCACTTGAAAGAACCTTGCCACTTTTAACCTTTTAGACCCTCTGTCTCTTACTTGCTACTATCATCCATTTTTCTTCAGAATTTAAGCTCAATGCTGAAGAAATAGAGCGCTGGTTCACAAAGATTGATCACATATTTGAACATACGAGAACTCCAAAAATTGGTGAAAGTCTTGCACCATTCTACAAGATTAGCGTTGATCGAGAACAACGTCACCATCTTCCAGTGATTAGTCACATAAATTACAAGTAATCTGCTCTAGTTAATTCCTACTTCATTTTTGCTTGTATTTCTGATTTAAGAAATTACCTCCAACTTCCTTGTGTAACTTAGTGTTATTATGTTTTTTATTATTATTGTCATTAGTTGTTTAGTCATTTTTCCACATAAATGTACTTGTAGCTTTTCTGTTCATGCTGTCCAAATGGGCGAAAAAGTCACATCCATATTTGAGCGTGCTATTAATGTCTTTGGCCGCTGGGATGATGTATCCCACTCCAGGTATTTTTCAGGAATATTAGGTGTTGAGTTTTTTTTTTTTTTTTTTT